ACGAGTGACACAAAGTATTTCTTTGCCTCATGTAAACACTCCCTACAGGGCCAGATCTAACTGTTTTGGGGCCCAAGGCCAAAACAGGTAAATAGGTCCAACCCTCTGATCAGTGTTGCTATTCAAAGGCTAAACACATACATGTAAACAGTTCGTCTCATAATAATATGTAATGATTAATTATCAATGTTATATTATGCATAGTTTAAGGAGGCATACACTGAAGCCATATTCCTATACTTATGTAATTACAAAATAAAAAGTGATGGTGGGCCCTTTATCTGCTTGGCCTACTGGGTAATCAGGGACTGAGACTACTGGGTACACACGCTCTGACTGCTCGGTAAGCAAGTGTGAAATCTTCATCACTCCATCTTCAGGAGTTATACCCATGAAGAGTTCTATGCGAATCAGGACATTACCTGGAGTCCTGTTTGCCTAACCGCTTCCGCAATGTGGACATAAAATGATGTCCTCAAAAAAATATTTGTATAAAATTCAATTTTAATCCGATTTACTTTGGGTTTGTTTCAAACTGTGCGCCATGAGGTTCTCTTTCTCACCACTAGGCTGCATGGTACAATAAGTTCATGAAAGGTGTGGACCACTTCGATCAAATGGTATTACCATTTTACCAGGAAAACTCACAAGTGGACCAAAAAGAAAACGTTTATTTCCTGCAAATGACATTGCATAATGCATTTGTTTTGTACAAATACAACACAACTGATCAAAAAAAGCTAACATTGCTACAGTTCCACGAGGTGGCAATTTGGGCCCTATTGCGCTGGGACCCGGAAGATTGGCCTCAAACAGCAACAGTATCTCAACACTTGTGGCACCCTCCAGACATAAATGATGACACAGGTCCTGCCTATGCTGACACCATGCAAACTCCCGGACCATCTGGTGTGAGGTGGCCTTTGTTCACTTCAACACCTCAAGCTGAAGCAGCAACCGAATCTGAACCCGAGATGTCTGGCACACTGCCATTTGACGAGACGATTTTGTCAGATGACTTTGACTCTGACTGACTCCAATGTTGAACCTCCAGCGATTCAGTTGATTCTGAAAATCGCATGAACTACAAACTGAAACGAATATTTTGATACCAGAATGAACACTATCACATAAACTGCCCTAAGTAGACTCAAACCTTCATAGATTTTTTTTTTGGGTGTAGCGTGTGTCTGAACGAGTGTCCCAAATGGGTTGCAGGTGGGTGACTTTAGCCATTTATACTGGTAATGCTTCCCCCATATCATGTATTATATGCACATGTCTGTTTAGGGAATTTTATTCCGATCAATGTAATACCAAAAATAACTGTGTGCAACAAGTATAAACTTGACAAACATAACAACAGTAAAAACACTTTGTGTCTGTTTGACACTCACTGATATGTTCCAGCGTTGTTTTATATTTAGCGCTATTCTATCTTATGCTTTGTTGATCTTTTTTACCTACGGGCTCATAGAACATTCTATTGCGAACACATTGGCACAAAAATGAATGACGTACATAGAATAATAATGTCAGGACAGTGAAATAAGTATAAACTTTCAAAGCGCCGTATCGCACATGTGTCGTCGCGTCACCGATACCGGGTAACAGTTCCGCCACTTCCCACACTCTTGCGGGTGGGCCGCGACCATTATTCTACGTTTATATTCATATCACCGTGTTGGGAATTTCATTGCGAGTCCATTGATACCAAAATTAACGCTGTAGGACAAGTGTGGAGGCGATAACAATCCCAAGAGTAAAAACATTTTGTTGCTGTTGGGCGCTCACGTAGTCATCTACGTAGGTTTTTATTTGGTGCTGGTATACCTATACCTTTCATGACCTTTTTACTGATGTTCTTCTAGAGAATTTTATTGCGAACACGTTGGTACCAAAATGAAATACGTAGCTCGAGAACTAAGGTCAGGAGAGTAAAAAGAGTATACACATTTTTGTTTTGACGCTTAAGCGACAAAAACGCCGCGCGCACATTCCGCTTTTTTTTTTAACCTTAGCCGGGCGGGCGAAAGTGTTAAGCTTGGAAAAACGTTACACACTTGTTTTCGTGGGAGACAAAACTCCTTTTCCTGGGTATCTGAGTTGTGTGCCTCCTTTATGTTCGATTTAGCACATCTTCCTAAGCTGACACAGGTTAGCAAGGCGTCCTAACCTTCCTAACTTAACCTAACCTTCCTGTGTTTTGAGTCATACACAAAACAATGTACATCCATGAGTGTGCATTTTCACAGACTAGTCCTTGGCTAACTGCTGTCATCTCCACCCAGACAGTAACAAGGTAGGTAGGAGGAAGGGTTGAGTGTACCTCACCTCTAGTGGGAATAATAGGTTATGGTTTGCAGCAGTAGTAACCAGTATTGATCTACTCATGCTACAATGCAGTTCTGTGTGAATGAATTTACTGCAGTGAAACTTTCACTGTCTGATCATCTGCCAACTGAAGTTGTCTCTACCCTGACAATACCCAGGTAAGCTATGGGTTTTGGGTTGATCAGTGCATGAACTAATGTATTCCATGCATTCATCCTTTCATCAACTGGTCCTCTTGTCAACTGCTGTCATATTCACTCCTGATGATACCTAGGTAGACCCGAGGACAGGTTGAGTATCTCGCCTCTAGTGGGGCCCATAAGTTATGTTTTGCAAAGTAACCAACCAGTGTAGTTCTGCTGGTGCTACAAAGTGCTTTGATACAGTTCTGAGCAATTAGTGTGTTGATGTGAAGTATTGATTTAAGTTATCTCGTTATCCAAGAGCACCTGACAGCTGAGTGGACAGCGCTTCGGATTTGTAGTCCTGAGGTTCTACATTCGATCCCGGTGGAGGTGGAAACAAAAATCGGCAACGATTCTTCCACCCTGATGCTCCTGTTCACCTAGCATTAAATAAGTACGTGGGAGTTAGACAGCTACTACGGGCTGCTTCCTGGGGAAGTGTAACAAATAGAAGGCCTGGTCGAGAACCGGGCCGCGGGGACACTAAACCACGAAATCATCTTTAGATAACCTCAAGATCTGCTGTGATTCACCTACTATTAGCAAATAATCTAAAGAAAGGATACCTGACAAGGGTATCAAGGTAGGCCTGACAGCTGAGTGTACAGCACTTCAGATTCATAGTCCTGAGGTTCCCGGTTCGATTTCCGGTGGAGGCGGAAACAAATGGGCAGTTTCTTTCACCCTGATGGTTTGCCTACACGTCATGGTAGAGCATAATCAGTATTATGTTCACCTAGCATTAAATAAGTACCTGGGAGTTAGACAGCTGCTACAGGCTGCTTCCTGGTGGTGTCTAACAAAAAGGAGGCCTGGTCAAGGATGGGCCACAGGTACGCTAAGCCCCAAAATCATCTCAAGATATAATCAAGATAGGGAAGAATATCATGCTTTTAAATATCTTATTCATTAGATTAGATTAATTTGTTCTTCTTGTAGGATTCATTGTGATTTGTAAATCCCTTCTGAGATATTTGATGTGTGTTATTTTAGATATCATGCAAGGAACCAAGTTGAATAAAACTGGAAAACCGGATTCAAGTACAGTGGCACCTCGACTTACAATTGCCCGACTTACGATAATTTCGAGTTACGATGTAAATTTCATAAAAAAGGACACTCGACATACGATGGTATCATCAACTAACGATATTTGTTGGTACACGTTCGGGTCAACTGAGCGCGTGGTCCCGGTCACGCGGTCCGACCTGCCTCAGTTTACTACAGCTGCCCGCTTAGTGACGATCGCACCTATAAGAAATTCGCGTTTGTGGTGATTTTTTGTATTTTGAACATTAAAGTAATTATTATCTATCATGCCATGAGTCCCAGGAAAGTCAGTGGTAAGGCTCAACATATGAGGTCGTATGTAAGGATGACCATAGAGCAGAAACAAGAGATCATTCATAAATATGAAGATGGTGTGCGGGTTGTTGAACTGGCTAGGCAGTACAACAAATCTCAGTCAACAATATCCACCATACTGGCTAAGAAAAAGGACATTACGGGTGCTAAAGTGATGCATCATTACAGACAAATGTTAAAACGAAGGGAAAAACAAATGTCTCTTGACAAATTTGTAGTGAGACAAACAACCACTGAACCACAACCAGGTCCTAGTGGTATTCAGGCAAAATGTAGGAGAGAGAGTACCCCAGAGAAAACATCACTGCCTGATGTGATAATGGAAGGGGACTCCCCTTCCAAACAGTAACAACTCTCCTCCTCCCCCTCATCACCATCTTCCATACGCCATCAAGAGCCCTCCATAAAGGTAAGATAAATTTAGGTACTGTATTGTAGTTAGAAAAAAACATTGTTTTCAATATAAAATGTTAATATTTTGGAGGGTGGGAACGGATTAATTCAAATCCCTTTATTTCTTATGGGAAAAATTGCTTCGACTTACGATTCATCTCTGGGAACGGATTAGCATCGTAAGTCGAGGCCCCATTGTATATCATTTATCACCACTGAGTTTAGAATGTTGATTCTCATGATTCTAAATTAGCTTAAGTGGTCCTGGTGTTCAAGATGACAATCATAATAGCTTTGGATTTCCTTCTTTAATTGTTAACAGATTTATTTTGTAGACTCTGCAGGAATAGTTGTGCTAGGATTAATATGAAGCTTATTTATACATCACTATTTATAAGTTCCAACATCTGAAAACTATGCTATGTATATTCAGGGGCTTATGTACGGTCTATTGGAACTGGACAAAATTTGGGTACCGGTACAGTTCTTATGTAAATATTCCATTAATTACACAGCCTCTTAACCAAAATCACACAAAATTATTTCTACATGCAAATAGAAAACGTATTTACAAAAAGAAGACATTAAGTCAGGATAACTATTTAGCTTGCCATGGACAGAAATACCAAACCATTGTGGTGATGATGATGGTGATGATGATGGTGATAATGATAAAGGGAAAACATTTATATTATCTAACTCAAAGAGACATACACCACTTACCTTGAATACCATGTTAAGGTTATCAGCCGATTTTTCCAACAGAGCTCTCTGATATACATGTGACAACGCTGGCTGGATGATGGAGTTCAGCCAGAAGCAAGATGTTTCACCAGTTGTCTTGGCTCCGGCCTCGGTTGACGGTGTCGACTCGCTCACCGTTTCGCTCAAACATTTACTTTCCAAAGGATTTTCTAAATCAATTTCTTCTGATTTTATGGATATTTCTTCTGATTTTATGGATATTTCTTCTTTTACTGTGAGAGTACTTTGCAAATTGTTCACAGATTTTGTTTCCATCTTCAATTCTTTTTTTGTGATCGTTGATTGTGTCTGACTATCTTCCCTCACTTTAGTAACTGGTGATAAGATGCCAATGTCTCCATTTTTGGTGGATCCTAACTTAACACACTTCCCTGTATCTAATTTCATGTTATCATCTTCATTTGCATTCGATATATTTTCTTTTTCTATTTTAACTTTCTGTTGTATATTTTCTACTTCTACTTTAGAGTTTAATGATTCAGTTTCCCCCAACATTTCAGAGTTATCTTCGATTTTAATATCAATATTTGTATTCAATATTTGTTCAGATTGCTCAGATTTGTCCTTTTGCAATACCTCATTTCCAGACATTTTGTTATTTACATTAAGTGAAGGCACTGTATTAGTTGAGACATTTTGTAGACTATTAAATGCTGTAAGTGTATCCAGGGTCTTCAAAGCCGAGCCTCTGACAGAGCTACTACTGTGGTACAAAAATGGCCACAAACGGGGTACCAGTTCACTAAGGTTGCTCGTTACGCTGTAAATAAAAATAAATGTCACGTTATTATGCATGATGACATGATATCAAAATCCAACACTACCACAGCCAAGTAGATTCAAACTGAAACATTATTAACAGGTCTCATATAAAATGAATTTAAAATAATTAAACATTTTAATGTTATCCAGATCAGCTGAGAGTAATCTATGGTGCCTACACTATCTGTGATCAGAGGGAAGTGAGATCTAGCTCCTTATACCTTCTCTCCTTGCCATTGATACCTGGCATGCACACTAGTTACCTTTCTCAACATTTACGTTTCATTTCCTTTTTTAAGCTGTGGATGGAATTGTCGACAACTTCTTCCTTCAATGCATTCCACTTGTCAACCACACGTACAGAGTATGAGAATTTCCTTTCATATTACCAATTTGTTGTCTAATTATTCCTGAGTGGAGTGACCCAGAGCATTTATACTGTACAGTAATTTTAAATATTAGTTTGACCCATATAACTTTCATAACACATTGCTGTCCAGTAATTGCTGTAGGGGGGAAAGAAATGTTGTAAACCAAACATATTATGATTCTAAAAACAATTTTTTTATACAATGCAGCCTGGATGCTACAGTGTCATGAGCAAGCCTTCATAGTGATTTCCAGAGGGAGTATCAGGTCTCATGGACAGAGTAAAACTATTAATCTGTAACAATACAGATTACATGCACCCACCTGTCACTGTTACCCAGATGTCCCAGCAGCTTGGCAAGGAGCATTAATATAGAATTAGTTGATGATGTCAGGTCATCAATATCTAACAAGGCATCCCAAAGTGTGGCCACCAGCTTCATCACCAACTGCTTATCCAGCAATTCAACCACACTGTCTGCCACTGGTACAAGGCACGATGCAGCCACAGCTACCACATCGTCCATCTCGTCCAGTAAACCTGAAATCATGGTGGATATAAGAGTCATAAAATGTCTCCATTTTATATGTCTTCAGCAGTATGTACACTGCGCGCGCACACACATTAAATACATGGCAGTTTTTACCAATGAACCTAAACCTAACAACTGAACCCATCTATCCAATCATTTGGATTCTAATTACAATCAGGAATCATACCTAGCTACCATTCCAAATAAAAAATCAAGCATTGATTGTAATAAAATGGCCTCTTTTTGTGCCCTCAGAAGTCGACTTCTTCAGCTAAGTGCTACGACTAATCAAACCTCAGGAAAATGCACTGGGTCTCTGAGCCCCTTCTTTGCCTACCAGGAGCCAGGACCAAAATCTGGCTCTACAACAAAATGGGAGTTTGTGGATCACAAATCAGCCCAAGTGAGAAAAACTACTGGAACAGCCCATCCTCCTAAGATTTTCCAAGAAACTATCATACTAAAGTGCTGTTATTCTAACCTACCAGAGGACCCAAAACAGAAAATGGGACAGTATGTCAATTTCGCGAGTCGCTACCCTTTCTTAGTACGACAATTTTTGGCCTTGGGTATAGTATACGTCAAAATGCGACATTCTATTGGGAGGACGGCTTCACCAGAAAGTGTAAGGACAACAAAGTAAGAAACTGCTGCAAGAAAATTGTTTGCCCAAGTGACAGAGCAAATTATTAATGCACAGGGTAAACATCCTAACTCTGATGTACCTGACCACCACGGGGTAGTATCTCAGGTCTCCTGAGACTCCAGCCACCTGCCCTTTCACTCACAAGCTATACAAACAAAATCCCACCATCACAGGGAATACGAGGCAACAAGAAATAAGGAGCTATGGAGGAGCTCACTTGAGGAGGTTGTTTCATAACATTTAATGCTTTATTTCTGTGGAGAGCCCCTTTTGCTCCCTGAAGCTATACCAGGCTTATGTGTATATATTAGACTGTGGCAACAGTCAATCGAAGAAGTTCTAAGCCTACCGGAGACCAGAGCCAGAACCTGCCCCCCCCCCCAAGAGAGGCACGAGGAGCAATATCCTAAAAACACCTCCGTGTAATTGGAAGCAGTCTTTGGTTGCCATCTACCAGGTCAGGCACCCAGAAAGGTAGGAATTCCAAAACAAACTACTGCTGATCAAATACTTTAACCCTCAAACTGCTAGGGGCCCAAATGGATTCGACACCCACAGGCGCAACAAAAAAAAAAAAAGCCCCAAAAATTCTTTCGTCTTATACAAGTGTTCATTTTTGTTCCCTGATCACGGAAAAAATAACAAAAAAAACCGTAGGTGGCATATTTTAGCCGCAATAGGGAAGGGAAGTCTGGCAAAAAACCAGCGCTGAATGTAATGAAACGCCATTTTCTGGGCGAGTCCCGTCGGCTCCCCGGAGCTATCCCAGGCTGATATGCTAATGTCAGACTTTGGCATCAGTCATGTGTATGGAGTTCTTAGGCCTACCGGGGACCACGGCCAGAACCGGGCCCCCTCAGAGAGGCAAGGGGAGCAATGGCCTATAGAAGCCCCCGTGTGGTTGGAAGCATTCTATGTCTGCCATCGACCGGAACAGGCACCCAGAAAGGTAAGCGCCTCAAAACAAACCCCTATTCTGGTTAAAATTGCTACCAAAAACCGAACTAGTGGATAGAACTCCCCAACCGAAAACAAGCAAACTAGTGTGACGTCACACACCGCCGTGCCGCTGTCTGCGCAGCTCCCCCCTCCCCGGGAGGGGGAAGGGGGAGCCCCAGACCCCCCGCGCCGGCTACCCACACCTCAGTTCTTGAGGCTGGATGTCAAAAACGCGAAAAACCGCCGACCGGAGGGAGGGAGGGATGCCGGGGACTCACCCAGAAAATGGCGTTTCATTACATTCAACGCTGGTTTTCTGGGGGAAGCCCCGTCAGCTCCCCGGAGCTAACTACCCACAGACAGAAAAAGAGGGACTTACCCGGGAGGCGGTCGTCGCCCACTCCTCAACTCGAAGCCGAGACAACTGGCTGCAACCGCCGACCCAAAGCAACACAGGCCCGACGAGGCCCAGGGACATTCACAAGGTAACGAGCAGCCAGGACCCTGTTCGACCGCCAAAATCCCCGCGCCCGAATATCAGACCAAGACATATTCCCAAAGACAGCAGCAAGAGCCGCGAACTTACGAACATCATGGGCGCAAGGATAGACCGCAGGCTGGCTGGACTTAATAACCCTGCGGACGACCTGAGAGACGCGAACAGGGAAGAAGGGAAACCGGATCAACCCACAGCGCGTCCCCGGACACAGAAGCTGTGGCGCGCAAATAACAGCGAAGCGCCGCAACCGGACACAAAACATGATGCACCCCCGGCCTGACCAACCAAGCATCAACCACCCATGGACCCCTCCGGAACGCAGCAGTCTCATTCTTCGCCAGAAAAGAAGGAGACGGCTGCAAACGAACAAAACAATCACCACGACCAAAAGAGCAGAAACCCCTGCGCCGGAGGAGAGCATGAAGCTCCCCTACCCGACCCCCAGAGGCCAAAGCCAACAAGAAAAGTGCCTTGGAAAAACAATCCTGGACCGAAGAGGCCACAACGAAACGAGGAGATGAAAGGAAAGCGAGCACTCTGTCCAAAGACCATGACGGCTCAGGCGACGCATGAGCAGGCCGGAGGTGAAACAATGCACGAGACAGCTTGCGAAACGGCGCAGACGTAACATCAATACCGAAAGCAAGCTGAAGCGGCTCCACCAGCGCCGCACGATACGAAGCGACAGTGTCAGGCATGAGATGACGGTCCTGAAACAACAACGAGAGGAAGGACAAGACCGCCCGAACAGACAAGGAACTAACACGACGAAGACGCAAAAAGAAACGGAAGGACCGCCAGGAAACTTCATACTGCCACCGAGAAGAAGCCCTCAGGTGGGACACCAACAAGGAGGCCACCTGATCACCATAGAGATGATGATAGACCCGAGTCAAAAAAACCATACGCGAAGACTCGAGGAGAAGATCGAACCAGCCACGTGACGAACCGGCCCGATCTGCTGAAAGAGGCGGAGCCGCGGGAAAACCCTCGGGTTCGGACACCGAGCAACCAGCGCCTGAAACCAAGGCTGGGCCGGCCACCAAGGGGCCAGAAGGACAACTCTCCCCTGGTAAGTCTCCAAACGAGTCAGGACCTGGAGCAACAGCCGAACCGGGGGAAAGAGGTACAGGAACCCCCACCTCGACCAGTCTAGCCGAAAGGCATCGACCCCGACGGCCTCGCGATCGGGGAAGGGCGCCGCATAAACGGGAAGACGCCACGACCATGCCGACGCGAAGAGGTCCACTTCGGGGCGCCCAAACGTCTGGCAAAGCCAACAGAAGGACTCGTCGTCGACCGTCCACTCCGTGGAGAGGGGAACGAAGCGAGACAGGGCATCGGCCAAGACGTTGGACACGCCCCGTACGTGAACCACCAGGAGAGCCAAACCCCGAGAACTCAGCAGACGAGTCACCCGAAGCGACCAACCCCAAAGAGACAAGGACCGCATCGAACCCCCGCGGTTCAGGCAATGAACCACCGGAGAGCAGTCCGAATGGAGCCGAATCGTCGATCCGCGGGCCACCCGAATCCTCCCGAGAGCAAACCACACTGCCGCGAACTCCCGCACCGTGCTGTGAGCTCGACGGAAGGATGGATCCCAACGCCCCTGGCCGGCCTGGTGAGCACTGGTCACAAAACCCCAGCCGAGAGACGACGCATCCGTATACACATCGAGCGAGGGCTCGGGTAGGCGCCAAGGCACTGAACCCCGAAAACCCCGAAGAGGAAGCCGGTGACGCAGCAACCGACGCAAGGCCCCCGGGGGTCGAACTCTGCGATCGCGAGAAAGGCGGAAGGGGGAACCCCGAAGGAACCAGAACAGCCGTCGAAGCCAAACCCGACCCAGCGGGTAGACCACCATCGCGAAGTTCAGGCACCCGCACAGCCCCTCGAGCAACCGCCGGGTGACCCGAGGGCCCTCCAGAAACAGACGAAGGCGGGACCGCAGCCGCAGGAGAGACTCCGGAGGGAGAGACAAGGAGGCGGTTCGAGAGTCCCAAACGAGACCCAGCCAAGTCAGAACCTGAGAGGGAACCAGATGGGACTTCCTCCAGTTCACCAAGAACTCGAACCCGGCGAGCTGGGAAAGAACCAAATCCCTGGTTAGCAAGCAAGCTGACTGGCTGGGAGCCCAAACCAGCCAGTCGTCGAGGTAGGCCAACACCCGAACACCTAGGAGACGCAAACGAGCCACCACAACCCGTGTAAGGCGCGTGAACACGCGAGGTGCCAGGTTCAACCCGAACGGGAGACAACGAAAGCGGTAACTCTGACGCCCCACAACAAAACCAAGCCAGTCCCTGAACCGCGGATGAATCGGGACATGCTAATAAGCGTCCTGGAGGTCCAGGGACACCAACCAAGCTCCCGGCTCCAAGAGGAGCCGAACCTGAGACAGCGTAGTCATCCGAAAGGAGGGGCGATGAACCCAGGGGTTCAGACGGGACAAGTCCAGAATGAACCGCAGGTCCGCGCAGTCCCGTTTCGGAACCGGAAACAGACGGGAAACCCATCTGAGGGACGTCATCGTTTCGACGACGCCCAAGCGTACCCACTCCAAGACGACTCGACAGAGCGCAGGGAAAGAAACCTGCCCTGCCAGCCCCGACCCCCCAAAGGGGGAGGGGCCACCCAACGCCACCGCAGGCCGCGAGACACGACCCAAAAGGCCCACGAATCGTGGTACCAGGCGCGGGCGAACAGTGCAAGCCGCCCCCCCATCGCCCCATCAAGGGGGCAAACCGCGAAAGGGCCGGCGACCCTTACGAGACCCAGAAACCCGCACAGCGCGAACACCGCGCCGACCAGACGAGGGAGGGTCCGCAGGAGGAGCCAACCCCGAACCTGACACCAGAGGCTTACCACGACAAGAGGAACCCCGAGCCCTGGCACGACCTTTCCGGGAAGACCCACCCCGG